ATAGCAGCTAGGTGCTCTGCCCATAGCAATCTTTGAATACAAATCTTTTCATCTTCATGTTCAGCTCTTGTGCGAGACGTTTGACAATCATTGAACATCACTTGTTATTTAAGATCATGCTTCAAGCATAGTAATAACCGTAAAGCGGGTCGTTACTCAAAACCTCACAATCAAACGCGGGGGTCTTTATTAGAACACCCATGCTCAGCATGGTCAAAAGTATCTTGTGTGCACGTTTCACATTCAACATGCGCAATCGCAAATTTCGCATTTGGCAATGCCACCCAAAAAAAAAGTTTCTGGAGGTCGGCCTGATTTCATTTTGGCGGGTGGTGACATGACCAAATCTGACATTGACGAGTTCGATCCTGAAACTGGCACACAAGGTTGCGTGAGCTGGGCTGAGTATGGTGGTTGCAAAAAGAACCGATGCTTGATTGAGGCATTTTAAGTTATGGCTGTCTTTATGCTGTAAATATGATGCCATACGACAAAGCGGTCTTTTTCCATTGTCAACCATATAACCACTTATGGTGCAATAGCTGCACGAGTCCGTGTTTGGGTAAGAATGCAAAGAAAGCAGCATTAAAAGAGCAATGGATCATATGTATACGCCATGTCACAGTCATTCATACAATGCTAGCCATTAGCCAATTCCACCCAATCAAGACCATCATGGATTTGATAACGTATGAAAAATGCACCTGCTCCAAAGATTCATTTCCATCATTCAGGTGTCTTGATCCGAGCCGATTTGAGGAAATTACGGCCACGTAATGGGTACATCGCTTCCAACATGCAACGCATACGGATGTATCCACTAGAGAAAACCTGGTTTAAGCGTAGCTCATCCAAATCGGCTCGGATCAATGTAATTAAACCATGGATCTGAACCTTGGAGCAGGCGCATTCACCACACGTTGTCAAATCCACAATGGGCTCAATTGGGTGGAATTGGGTTATAGCTCGCAGTGTATGAATGACCGTGATACAGTGTACCCATATCATCCATTGCTCTTTTAATCCTTTTTTCTTCGCTTTCGTATACAAACATCGCCTTTAACACCTACCTCACTATAAATGTAAATGAATCACAATTGAAAAAGACCCACCTTTATAATAGCAAAACATACACGCGTCTGTAACTCGACACCTTTGAATGAAGCATGGGCTCGTTTTGATACCAGCATGCTCAGGATGGTAGAAAGTACCTTGTGTGAAGGCTCCAGGATCGAACTCGTCAATAGCAATTTTTGCATTTGTCGGTCCCACCCAAAAAGTTTGAAGAGGTCGACCTGATTTTATTTTGGCGGGTGGTGACATGGCCAAATTTGAGATTAACGAGTTCGATCCTGAAACTGGCACACAAGGCTGTTTGAGCTGGGCTTAGCACGTTGGTTCCAAAAAGAGCCCATGCTTCATTGTGGGATTTTGGGTTATGGCTGTCGTTATGCTGTAGACATGATGCTATATGAAAAGTTGTCTTGGCTCATTCTCAATCACCTCAATCATACTTTAATAGATCGGAAGCTGCAGCTGGATCTGTTTGTATTATAGAGACAAGCGGATGCGATCAAGATAGATAACGAGCACGAGCCTAAAAAACTTGCAATGGAAGTACCACAATAACAACCCCGCCTTGAAACAAGATTGAACACACAGAAAATACCATTACTAACGCGATTGCCTTTTATTTATACAGCTTTCCTTATGTCCCATATCAATAATACTATTATCCTCCTACATGCGATGTAACGTGTCTCATCTGTTGTACTTTATATAGATGAGCGCCCCATCATTCATTCAGGCACCTCTTGAAGGGTAACAATAGTAAAACATGTTGTCATGGAAAAATTGGTTGCGTCGGCTGCGAGAGCGGTGTGTATGTTGCATTCATGTAAGATTGGCAGTGGCTAATTTCCATACCCTTGTGTCAAAAGGGGTGCTTTGTCTACTCAGCTTCTCCTTGCTACTTCTTGCCCAGACCTCACAACAAGCGCGATCGTGGTTCGACATGGGAGCCCCTCATTAGCCAACTTCATATGCGCAAGCGTGTCAATGAAGGTGAGCAACGTGTTGATAGGCTTGTCCTTGTTCGCTGTGTATACTGATATGGTTGCCTTTTCACACCTTTCTTTTTTCCGGAATGTCGACAATTTCAAGATTGAGGAGGAATGTGGAAAGAGATTCTGTTCAAGAAGGGCAAAAGGTGCACTGTTGATGGGGTAGGCAAGATGACTGGAAACGTGTGCAGCAAAGGGATTCATTGATGTGCTCTATAGGCGTGTTTCTTGTACTCAATAGCAGCAACCTTTATCCGCGACTTGATCACGTGCCAGCAAGGCAACAACAGAGCATGAGAGGATGTTTCGGCTTATGGTATGTACAAAGAGCAGTGGTACTGAAGGCAAGGGAGTGGATCATAGGAGGATGATTAACGGGTGAAAACAGCATTAGCAGCAACCGTGTTCATGAGGTTTATCTGTACCTGCTACCTGGCAACACGGATATAGTGCATGGCAACGAGAATTACATTGACACGTGGATCGATACAATGCTACGAATCACCATCAGCCGTTTAACCTTCTGCAAATGTACCACAAGACGGCATGGCAAGCGATGACATTCATTGTATTGAATCATCACGGTGTGAGGGTTTCATTAGTCGTTCTTTAAGTATGTCTGCAAGTACATATGTGAGTGGTGCATTAAGTACTAAGGCATGCTTTTTTACTAATTTGCTGTGCTGGTACCTGTACGCGCTTTATGTTCATCTCCTACCTGCCCCTCAACAATTTGCACCCGCTTGACGATTACAGCTATTCAGCATAATGACTGTGACCAATTGAGACGGCTCATGTTGTTCAAGACCTGTGTCCAAAGGTGTCATGTTGACTGTTGCAAAAGGTATGTAACAACGCTATATGGTTTGAAGGAGTTATTAAGACGCAAACAGGTTTATGGACTTGGATAGATACACAACGCATGCACACGGGCATCGGTATGTGGAAGATATTGGGCAGGAGACGCTTGCAGAGCATACAGTGGTTATTAATTGATACTGCTCATCATCACCATCATCTTCATCATCATCTTCCGTAGGAAATCTTCGAAGCACGCGTGTCCTCTTATATGGTGCATGGGATTGTTTCAGCATTCGGATCACCAGGGAATGATCGCAAGCTTCATGGCAACTTTAGTCAGCACGACCGGGCGTCCATATACAATCATCTCTTTGAATCCATTGTTTTCCATGGCAACGGCTTAGGATGCTACGCATATTTTGGATTTCACCTGTATATATGGAATTGGCAAATGCAGTATGATGATGATAGTTTCGGTTACTCAGGTAGGCTTGGGTGATGGGCTTTGTTTTGGATATCCTTGGTCAAAGAGATTCCTGGCACGTCTTTGTGCACTCAATCTTGACTTTGGACATGCTGAATGAAGCCGTGGTCGGTTTGGTGATGGCTCGTGGGATTGCAATACTAATGGATTGTATACGTTAGTGGTTCGCTGGTGGTATTAAGATAGTTTTAGAACCCATCAAAATAAAAATACGATATACTGTCAGTGCAATAATAGCTGTGATTGAGAAAGGACGTTGTGCATAATGCTCGCTGCTTAGCAAACTAATGGCAAATGGAGAAGCTGCAATGTGCATAGTCAAGCGCGAAAGGATAGCTTCCATATAGAGTCGTTAAGTAATATGGAGTAAGTGTTGTCGTAAGAAAGAAAAGAAAATCATTGTTCACTGAGACACGCGTGGTCAAGATATTTATGCTGGGATGGGAATTACGCTTGATGCTGCTGACGTTGATGAATCTAGTAAAAGCGTCTACGACCGAATCAAACAAGACTTTATCTAAAGGGATATCAACTATGCCGTTGGAGGTAGTAGCCTTTGCGCCCATTCACCAGTTCGAAGGAGGGGGATTAATTCATCATATCAACTTGGTCTTTGTCGTTGTGTTTGCTTCTTAGCTGGTGGATTTTAGATGCTGTGAACCACTATGCTAGATTTAGCAACAAACAGAGGCCGTACCATGTCGTTCTTATTCTCTATCAGGATATACCTGAACTAAAAACTAATCATGCATGCTGCATCATACGCAGCATTATCGCCATTTGAATGTTGATGTTTCGTACATATGCTCTAGCGTAATGCAAAGTATGATCTACTATAATAAATTCGGCATGCTTTATTATGCATACGCTTATAGATGTATAGATGATATTATTACAAGCAGTATTGTTGTTACAAGTAGTGTAGTAATTTATACATCTAGCAAGACATGGACGACCACCACCAGTCTACAAGTGCTCCTACCACCAAAGAGCAATGCCCCCATGATACGTTAACGAGAGCTGCAAGCCAGCCGCCGTTTTCCACAGTATAGCCCCTAAATGCAGCATCCACTAGCATATGCTCCAGGTATTAGTATGCATGCTGGCAAAGGGCAACCCGCATCCTTCATACTTACAATGTCCTTGCCAATATACATTTTCCACTGTATGCTTGTTTCCAACCATTGGCGATTGATAGAAATTATTCTTCGCCCTTACTTCAGTGCTCCTCATTGATGCTTGATGTTCTTGTTTGGATGTTGTGCCATCAGCGTGATACGCCATCTTGGATTGAAAGCAGCTTTGATGTGCATAGTGATCAATCTATGGATGATGATATTAGCAATAGCAGGATAAAGAAATGACCATAACCTACTTACCCATTATCTTGGGGAGCACGTATATGCTTTTGAGTATTCTTTTACTTGTGCCAACGTAAGGTCGTTTGTGGTCAAACACCGATACCAGCGTGATCCTAGCTCTCCTAGCACAGTTCTTGCAAGTCCCACTTTTCTTCTTCTTTTCTTCTTTTTCCTTTTTGTTTCTACGTACGAGCCTACAATGAGAATTCACTTTTCATCCTTGATAATCTCAATCATATACATACCCTTCTTTCAGGCTCTCTTCTTCTTGATGATATTGAATGCCAATCCTTATTTGAGTGATGGTCGAGATTGTTGAGCAGATTCAGCACGGCACCCAACGGCCAGGCGACTCTTAATCGATGGACGCACGGTGCCCTGTGACCCTGAACGACAAAGCGATGCATATCCTCCAGACCGGTCTTGATGCCATTGACCTTTGTTTCTCGGCATGGTTGTTCTATAACACCTTTGTTAGTATATGGACCTTGTATATAAACCAATTCACCCAATGATACTTACTTTGATGTTTGTGATTGTGGTTGATCGAGCGTTTGAGTGAAATGATTTGTGAACGTGTATGCGCGTAAAAGAGAGAGAGAGCCATAGATTGATATCTTTTCAAATGTGGAATCGTGCGATTGCTGTGCATAGGAAACCCGAATCCATCGCCAGGACCGCTGTGCTATGGTACCGACATTCCATGGTTGCATCTATATACTGCTATGGTAAGCGTCATGGCAACAGGTGTGCTTTCGAATCATATACATACGTTTTTAATGGTCGATCCTTGGTCGGTTTGGTCTTGACTTTGACCGAAATGTCGACCTTGTTGATTTGGTAATGGTACTTTGGTCCTCGTCATGTTCACCATAACCATGCGTGAACCGCCAATGATTGGAAAAGGTCCACAGGCCACCAGGCATCCTTGGATTGATATAAAGTTGTGAAGAAGATCCAGCCTTGAGTGATGATAACAATCGTAGTTGATATCGCGAATGCTGGTGTGACACCATACGAATCATGTGTATATGAGTTGATAGCCTTCTTGATCACATAGAGTGTAGATGATGAAAAGATCCAATATAACGTCATAGCACGTGCGTTGGTTCCAATTTGTCCCCCATTTGAAAGTGTAGTAAGCGATAACATGCTGCAGCCGCCAAGAGATGCAATGTACTCCTCATCCGCTACCATACGTGTTGTGTGAGAACGCGATCACCGCCAATAACGACTTCTGAAGATGCCAATAGTGATTCCTTCCTCCATGTCACTGAATTGTAATATCCTGTTGATGCCGAATTGTAAGAGGTAAGCCTTCTCAAAGATCATTTGATGCACATACCGCCAAAGGCATGCCATGGCAACGTAAAGAGACACATGCAGTTGTGCTGTGGTTCCGCCATGTGACATAAAGCCATTGTCATAGTTGTGTGTTGTCAATCAGTCCAAGTGATAAATGCCACCAGTGTCCAAAAGTCCCTCGTGATAATCCATTCTTGATGCCATAGGTATGAAGCTTCGCAATTGCAGCGATACCAATCGTGTAGTGACAAAGTCGACACCTTCACCATTGCCATTCCATCGCTGTGCTCGTGATTCTTTGTCGCATATAGAGTACAATAGGCCAACTCCTCATTGCGTGGTAGTATCCCGCCAAATAAACCATATGAACCTCACTTTGGGTGTCACCATATGATTGTGTTGCTGCCGCCACAATAATTCCATTATAAGGAGAACGTTTTGAGCGCCATCTTGATGGCATAGCCATGTATCGTATCACAGAGAGGAGCACCAAGTGTGGTGCACACGTATATCAAGTGACATTGAGATTATCGGTTAAACATTATCCATCATAACAATGCAAGCACATGCGGATCTTTACATCTCACCCACTTTCCACCATACGTACGCATGATCCAATACGACCACATTTACATGCATCACCACACTCATCCTTTCTTCATCCTTCTCTACCAGCATACTACACCCACGATACTAGAATTAAGATATAAAAGCACTGGAGCATCGTCTTCAGAATAAACATCAATCTCAAAGAGACTTCTTATTTTTTGTTCCTTTGCTTTATTTGCTATTTTCATCTTTGTTTACCTCATTTTTTCTCTTTGAAAACCTTTGTTTATTCTTTCACTTCACTCTTATCTTACCATGACAAGCCGTACAAGAAGAGCCGCATCTGCTGGTAGCAACCAACCACCTGCTGAGAATCGGCAAGAAGACCATGATATGGCTGAAGCATCGCAAGACACAAATCAAGCTGCTACAGAGCAAGAAACTACAAACACTCAAGATGTACCTCAACCTTCTGGTGCCACTCAACAGCAACAAACCCCTGTTTCAGAACCTCAACCACCTGTTCAGCACCCACAAGTCGATACAATCCTTGTTCAACTTAACGAACGCGTGGAGCAAACAGCAAGAGACCTGTTGCAAGCACAAGGAAAATCACAAGCCGAGCACGAAGAAGCCATGCGTCATCACCGTCAAGCGCAAGAAGCTCGCTCAGCTTATCAGCATACCCTTATCCATGGCCATTCTCGTAAGGAGGATCAAATAGTACCCGCCAACATGCCAATGTTGCAGATCAAGGGAGGCCCTATGAGAGATGCAAGCAAAACAATCCATGAGTCCGTACAAGCATTCTGTAGTGCTTTTGAGGCACAGCTCAGGAGCCGTTCGTTGGACCTCAACCGCCACTGGGAAAGGTTGATCTGGACCACCCTGGATTCTCAACAAATACAATGGGCAACGCAACGTCTTGCTGGTCGTGATTACACATGGGAACAAGCTCAAGTCGAAATTCAACGCATGTATGGTAATCCACTATACATTTATCGCAAGCAATTTGAGCTTTCAAGAAAGTTCCAACGCCCAGGCCAATCATTGAAATTACACACCGAAGAATGGCAAGAGTTGGCGTATGAAGCAAACTGTGAACCAAGTCCCCAGACGACATTTAATTATGTCAACTCCCTACTCAAGCCGGTACGCGAAACCATTTGGCCCATTTTGTCAACCAAGTTCGAGTTAAACCTGCCTTCGTCAATCAATGAGGTGGCTCAACTCGCCATTGGAGCCATGGGAGAGTACATGGAGGATGGATATGAACAAGTAACACCTATTGCACGCAAGCGGCAACACATGGGTAATCAAGATGGCACGTTCAAAAGACGTCAATATGGAAACTGCCCTGTGCACCCCAAGGGTAGTCATGCAGCAAACGATTGTCTCGTTTTACGTCAACTTAATCAAGGTCGGCAACAAACATCTCAACACGCACCCATCAAGGACAAGGGTCCACGTTTGTGCAGATATTGCAAAAAGGCACCTTATCAACCAGGGCACAAGTGCTCAGAGTATTATCAACAACGAAAAGTCGTACACAATCGTAGCATCAACGTCAATCAAACATCGTCGTCTCGCGATCAAGCGATTTTGGATCACCTGTTGCCCGTCAATCTTGAGAAGATGGATATCACTGGTACGCACATTTGACACACGGCTAAAGCTGCTTTTACTGACACTGCACAATCTCTCATGGTACCTATCACAATACAGGATGAACGAGTCATGGCCCTTGTTGACACGGGAGCTACCACATCTTTTATCACACCAACATTAGCCAACACAATTGAAGCAGTATTGAATAAAGAAGTTATTGATTACACAACCGTATCCTTGTTGTAGTGCATTTCGGGATTCAGTGCATATCGCGATATGCCCTAGTGCATTTCAGGATTCCGAAATGCACTAGGGCATTTCAGTCCTCAGTGCAGATACCGAAACGCCCTAGGGCATTTTAGGATACATACACCAGCTACTTTTCCATACATGTTACGCATCACGTGGATGAATAAAGAAGTAGTAATAATGCGTACCACGTGAATAAGTCACCGAAACACGGATATTGTCATACCATACCATATCATGAGAACAACCTTACATGATGAAATCTTAGTCATCGTGCCAGTAAAAGTAGTATCATGTGATGAGAACAACCTTACATAATAAAATCTTTGTCATCTTACCAGTAAAAGTAATAGCATGTGATGAGAACAACCTTACATGATGAAATCTTCGTCATCGTGCCAGTAAAAGTAGTATCATGTGATGAGAACAACCTTACATAATAAAATCTTTGTCATCTTACCAGTAAAAGTAATATCATCTGATGAGAACAACCTTACATAACAAAATCTTTGTCATCGTATCCCGAATAGGATAATTCATGTTACGTTAGGCTAGTAATAGTAGTCATCATATGATTATCGTGATGCGTAAGCATGTAAACCATGTAAGTGGTATATTATACTTTACATAATACGATTTCGGCGTTTAGCTATAAATATCGGCTGATGGCATAAGCGATTGCAACATCGTATTCAAGCTTCCTTTCTTTGCCATATTCAAAATGAACAGCGATACTACTGAGTGCTCGTGGCTGTCAAGAAACAAGTTTCAAGAGCTCCTTGAGCACTACCGGTCATTGGCATCACCTACACGACGAACGAAGGTCTTTATTAATCAGGAGATGTATAATGACATCAAAGGCGTATTGGAGGTATGCTTACCATCAATCGTCCGCTATCGAATTGTGCTAACCATTGCTTGCCTTGGTTAAGGATTCCCGTTACTCTCATCAGCGTGGGAACCGATTTGGTCCCTGGGTGCGAGAACGTTTCAAGCTAACCGTTTTTGCGAATGGTATTACTATCGTTACTCTTCTTCGTGATGAAACAAAGATGATTGCAGTCGAGGAGCAATTGTACAATACAGTCACTCGTGCACATGAAGATTGCAGTCATGGTGGTAGGGATGCAACTTTGCATAAGGTATGATGGTTGGGACTTATTTCTTGGGATAATTGATTATGCCTACAAATGTACCTAACATGTCTACATCTATATAGCTTAAGAACTACATTTATTGCCCAGACAGGTTTGTCCAACTTGTACTTAACCATTGCAGCATTTGTGCAACGACCAATGCGCCCAACGTTACCCAGCGGGCTGCACAAGCAATTCATGCTTCGTCTTTTTTGGAAATTGTTCAGGTATGTCGTAATGCTCAAGTACCAAGGTATCGAATGCTTATCATTCATGTTAATTGTACTATAGATGGATTTGATTGACTATGGTGGAAATGAGACTCCCGATGGCCTACCACGCTATATCCTCCATATCAAGGACCATCGGTCGAAGTTCTCTTGGGCGTATTCTCTTTTGCGAAAGGAATCAAGCGTTGTTGGCAAGAAATTACATGACCTTTTTTGTCTTGTTGGCCCTCCAATCTTTTTACAAAGCGACAACGGCGGCGAGTTTACAGCACAAGCAATGGTAATAGTGACAACGCATGATGTATAATGCATGAGTCGATAACAACATGTTTTTTTTTTAGAAAGATGAACTCCAATCCAACTGGCCAACCCTTCGCTTTATCAATGGTCGACCACGCCATCCTCAATCGCAAGGCCTGATTGAACGTGGCAATAGAACGCTGGTGCAGAAACTCAACGCCTGGGTTAGCAATCAAAACGCTACCGAGGAAGACCCCAAACATTGGTCTGAAGGTCTAGGGATGGTGGTTTATGCTATGAACACTTCAAGGACCAGAGTTCTCCGTGATACCCCGTATCGCTATTTGTATGGCCAAGATCCTCACCCGGATGATACTGTTAACCAAGAATACATTGACCGGCCCTTAAATGGGCAACATGTGGTGGATGGCGAAGCTGTTGACGCCATCCCTGAAATGGTTGAAGTTTACCAAAGCGGAGAAGGTGATGACGAAAGCCGTTCTCAGGATGTTGCAAATACAATGCTTTCTTCACAAGAAGAGGATACAGAGCCGGAGGATGACGATGGTGGTGATGATGGTAGCCTTGACTCTGGAGAGGATGACGATCATGGTGATGATGGCAATCTTGACTTTGGAGATGATGATGGCAGCATTGGCTTTGGAGACGATGAAGGTGGATCTCATGCATCAAATGGTAAGGGATTAAGTTGCTCATGCTATACTAAATTTCGTTTTTAATTGACACAACCAATTAAACAAGATACCTATTCAAATGCCATTGTTGCCAATACTGCTACAGAACGTCTGCAGGTGGAGGAAGGTCATGGTGTTATTGATGAGACGAGCTGTAAGTCGGTATTATTGTTATGGATACATGCCAAGTGATTTACTAATGACGCCATCAAAACAGCGAACAGTGAATCTGGTGACACCGCAACAGCCACATTTCTCGAATTGCGTGGTCCCGGCGGCCGTGGATTGATGACCATACCTATTGAAGATGCCGACGGCGTTCGTGGCATCTATGACACCAGCTTTAGATCCAACGTTCGTCATGCCTACCGAATTGGTGTCAATGGTGAACGTGTACCAGTGGAATTGGATGACATTTTGAATAGTGACGATGATCATGGCATTGCACCTCCTTCACCTTTATCATTGTCAAGCACTGAACCATTGGCCCGAAATGAAGAGTTTGATGGCCACGCAAATTCCGAGCACTTTACTAGCAATGATGATCATCAAGATGGTGGCAGCCTTAGTGATGTTTCGATCAATCGCCATAGTGCCATTCGGAATGCAGCAGCAACACACTACAACAACAACGTAGAATCCATTCAACAACAGTAAGTGTACCATTGAAGACCATCATCACCACGTACTCACATTGTGTTATATAAAGGCTACTTGCTAGGCAACCACCAACTCCGCAATATCATGTTGGTGACTACGTGGGAGTGCACATCGACATTCGTGACCGAAGCAAGCGTCACCCAAGGTACCTCCCTTGCATTGTTTATGACGTAGTTGATTTGGAGAATAGCTGTCGTAAGTATAAAGTGCGATGCAAGCATGGCCTGATCCAAACAGCCTACCATGGAAGGGAGCTAAAAGATTTCACGCACCACGAGTTTCATGACTTGGAATCCATTGCAAGGTCACCAATCGACGACAACACGCCAACAATTTCTGTTCGAGAGGCAGCAAGGTTAAGTCGCCAATCGCAAGCACCACCTGTACCTCAAGTATGCAATTGCACCACTGCATGTAAGACCAATCGTTGCCCATGTCGACGCATCAACGCATATTGCAATGATGGTTGCCATCGGGGAACACATTCGGGTTGTACCAATTCCCATGACCGCCACAATGACAATGGCCATAACAAAAGGCGCAAGACACAACGCAAACGCCCAAGTGGTCCTAGACGTATCACACGATCCCATACAACACGGCAAACAAGATCATCAAGACGCCCAGTAGAGCATGTCGCAATACAATGAATGTAGTGCTATCAAGTATTATGGTTACCAGTTTATCATTTTATCATACATAAATATCAGTCCCAATTGTATCCTTGAGTTTTTAAACATGTATGCTTTTCACCTTATTTAACCTTGCGGTGCATACCCTTGCCGGTAAAATGATAACAAAATTACTTGTACGCATCAAAGGAAAACCCAAATGGAAGTCATTTTCAGGAGAGGTTAAAGGTTTTAGATGATCCATGTATTGCAAACAAAAGGAGGTAATGTATTCTGAATATATAGGTGTCACTATCATAAAATGGTAAAGGGGTATATATATGACCAAAATGCCCTAGTGCATTTCGGTATCTGCACTGAGGACTGAAATGCCCTAGTGCATTTCGGAATCCTGAAATGCACTAGGGCATATCGCGATATGCACGGGTCCCGAAATGCACTACAACAAACCCACCAAAATAAAACTTTTTGGCTGCGATCGACAAATGTAAAAATTGCTATTGACGAGTTCGAGCTTGATACTTTCACACAAGGTACTTTGGACCATGCTGAGCATGCTGGTCCCAAAACGATCCCGTGCTTCATTGACAATTTTCGAGTTACAGGTGCTTGTATGTTTTACAAAGCCCTGATACTTTAAAAGTGGTCTTTTTCAATTGTGCCTCATATCTACATCTATGGTGAGATAGGTGCGAACTCCAAATTTCGCTATGTCGGCACCAGCCAACCTGGGATCAGGCTGAGCTGTTGATTTTTTTCGACGACGACGGGAAAGGTTTTGGCTGGTGTCGACAATGACTCAATTTGCAATTGCCAGTCTAGGTCTCCATTCTTTGGCACAACCTACTGTTGACTCGGAAGAGGAACATTGTTCTAGTAAAGGAACCATGTGTGATTCTTAATTTTGGGTCGTATTGAAATTGATATGTATGCCCTAAGAATACTTGGATGCAGCATGTCCATAAGAACGATAAATGATCCTGTTATCCTCTTTACAATAATCCTCCAAGTGCACTTTTATTTCGTTATGCGAAATGCCTACACTAATACAACCGGCCATTCCACAATACGCATCATAACCTATATCCTAACTCCATGTGTTCTTACCATTTCCATTCCTCCGTTCATCCAATGCAAGGAGGTCCAAGCTATACCAAATCCACTGACAACAGAATCTTATCCACATCAGCAGCCATGTCGAAACGATACGCCATCGAAATATACCTCAGGAACCAAAATGATGATCATCACCTGAAGACTTCCATTCCTCATTGAGTAAGCCATAGAGCGACTCCATCTAACCATACAAAGCTACAAAATGCATATAATAGATGACAGTACGATACGCTGCAACATGATGGAAAAGGCTCCTTGAGCAGGGACTACCTTGTACCTTGTCATCATCCACTTTTGAAACGATCCAACCCAATAGATAAGTAGCGTGCATGCTTGGAAAAGTAGCTACTGGAAAATGATGATGATTAATAGCTTAAATCAAGTAACCACTGCTTACACCTTATCAGCGTTCCTCCCCCCATAACATACCACGTAGCAATGCTTATAACCATGGCAACCTGTATCTATACAAGTTTGAATAATAAAAGCGTAGCCTGCAGGTAAGCATGTATAACGATAGCCTTGTTACCTACCTTTTGGATACTCAAATGACCACGATGTGCGCCACGATCTTGACAAAGCTTTCTATGGTGGTTGCTTCGCGATTGCTTCCCACAGGAGTCGACATTGTTGAACGTGAAAGTTGGAACAGCCTTGGTAAAAGAGGGACCTGCAGCAAGCATAAGTAACAAGCTGTAGAAGAAAAGCGATGACGCGTCACCTGGAGATGCATTCTGTGTCGGCACCAATCCGATGGCAGTTGACGAATTACGAATGCTGGGAAGGAGAGTAGACGTAAAGCTTTAGAGGGCCCACAAGGATAGAAAGAGAGTTGTGTGCAGGTGCTGGAATAAAGCGCCGCCTCTTGGGTTAGCTGGGAGCCTTGCAGCCAATCAATTTCATAATTGGGTGGAGCTTGAGCCATGGCCACCGCATTTGTTCACCTCTGCCAACCAACAATGACACACCCTGCTTGGAATGATTTATGCAAACAGCCCACACTCGGTTCTTATTGTTCTGAAAAGTATGCAAAGATCGTTTACGATTCGACACAACAACTCCATCAGCCTGTTCAATCGATCTTGTCAGCTCTGAATCTACGCGCCATGGGGTTGGCAAAGTGCGCCCACTTTGATTCTGCTCTTTGCGATGCCAACGCCATGCAGCAACTCGCGCCTTCTTCAGCACTTGGTTACTTGTGTGCAGCCAATATTTACAGTGAACAAGGCAAACAGCTTCAAGTCATTCGTATCTGCAGCAAGGGACTCAACATGGTCGATGCCATGGATACGTGCTATGATACACTGCAACAAACCAAAGAGGATGCTGAACAACGCCAAAGCACACGAATCGACTTTATGAGCCAGCTACCAATCGACATTGTTATCACAATTCTCATTCCCATGATCATGAATAATTCTCCTTTGAGCTCATTGATACCATGTCCCTACTTACATGTATCCAATTTATGGCGCGATCGTTTTATTCAAAGCTTGGATGGGCTACGGTTCGAGGTGGACTACAACGAAGATCACAATCTGTCACACGTTGTCGAGCTTTCTCGTTACATCAAGGCATTGGATGTCAGACCATATTCGCATGCAACATGGCTCGAGGCGTTCTTGGGCAATCATGATTTTTCCTCACTACGAGTGTTGAGGATTCGGGGTAAGCCACATCCACTTCTTGATGAGATTTCTATTTACCATTATATCTATAAGAGTACTTCGCTGAATGCGTTGATCCTTTGGTTTCGTCACTGATACCAATCGGCAGCAATTTGACACATTTGTATGCAGCGCTCTCTTTTACGAGTGTCGTATCCATTGCTGATGTCATGCACTCTTGCCCAAACTTGGTGCTATTGGACATATTCCAGCAACGTATTCCGGATCTTATTTCTCTACAAAGTACGACATGGCCCAAGTTGACAACTTTATCATTGACGTGTGTTGGAGGAGCCCATTTTAAATCAAACGACATAAGAGCAATCGGGGAGAGCTTTCCGTCACTCAAAAAGCTTTCATTTTACCCAAACGATTATACGTTTGCAACAGGCGTTGTCTTGAATTATTATCCATGGATGAAACGTTTGAAGATCTTGAGCGACGGCTTTGGAGATGAGCTGGTCTACGTGGACCAAGGGCTCCCATGCGAGGAGATCGGCATTACAAGTATCTATATTGAGACGGCTGAATCACCTGAAGACTTTTGGACTTTTCTGATTTATGAATTACGTGAGCATCGAAAAACACTTGCACGCATTGAATGTGATATCTTTCCTGATGACGAGGAGAAGGATGCTATCTATGCTATCGAGTACATTCGGTTGAAGCAGCTCTACCTTATTGGATCTGGATGGTGGATACCGCGCAAAGCACCTATGCTAGAAGAATTGAAGATGACAGCCGATGCAATAAGTGGAAACATGGCAGTCCTGGATACAATACCACCCAATTTGAAAAAGCTCGAGTTGGCACTGGATGAGGAACTCGACGTTCATAATAAAGCCGGCATCGAACGTTACCTTCAGCGGTTTGCACGGCACACACAGTTGAAGGAGCTCATTATGCATATTTGCGACTTGCACCACTTCGAAAACGTACTCATTGCGACCCATCACCTATGGCAGCTGCAACGATTAATGATCACCTCTACCCACAAGTGGGATTATGATTCAATGCAAAGATTTATTGATGGACTTGTCAAAGGATGTCCAAATCTAGCCTGTCTGGAGCTCAAGTGCACATCCGCGCCATCGACCTATTTCATGAAGGCTTTGAAACAGCTTCCACGTTTGGAGCAAGTTGCATTTTCAATCGAGTCCATCGGCGGCGATGATGATTTTTGGAATGCTGTACAAGGCACGCCCCAGCTTAAAGGTATTCGGATTTACCCAGCTAATGCAGCCAACATGGATGCGATCCGCGGCCTCCAACAACAACGTCTTGATTTGAAAATTATCCTCGATCAAACATTCACACGCTTCTGAAATACCCTTTACAAAGAATACATTGCACGTAGCCATCCAACAAAGACCTCTCCCTAGTTTTATTCTCATTTGTATGCATAAAATAAATCTCTGTTGCATCCTCTATGACTGCTTAGTGCGCGATCTATATGGAGTTCAATGAATATCAGTGACTAGTATATCCCAAAGGTTTTTCGGTATTAATGATGGCAACTTTATTTCGGTTGGAGTGGTCTATGGGAAAGGGCATTACTACTTAGCTTTGTCGTTGCTTGGGATAGCGTGTGTATGGAAATCGTTTGGCACCCAAAAGGCAGCATAACGCAATAAGGATTGGGATACCGCGAAAGGACGTTTTTGGGGGGACATTACTAGCCATCACGGCTGTACATGATACACACACAAATCGTAATTACCATCGTATACGTCCACTAATGCATATAGGGTTGAAACCAATGCGTCTCCATTTGATCCACAGAATAGTAACACCATCCATAAGAAGACAATTCGATGTCGTGCTGGTAGATCCTGATAGCGACCCCAAAAAGCTCTTTTGCAAACATACAATCCCATTAGTACTACGTCAAAGCGGTGCTAAATGTACCTCAATACGTACCACTATAGCAAACATCGAAAAGTGTACCAGCGAAGGTTGTTGTCTCATAATGCTTTCCACACCAATGCGGCATTTCATTATGCCGTCCTTTGCCGCTTCTGAAGAATACGCTGGTTGAGGTTGTGCGTTTCATGGGTGTGGTGATTCATTTGCTGTGCATGTTGCGTGTGGAACTGCCACCGGATAAGCATCTAATCGATCCACATCTACAGGCATCAATCGGTAAGTCCAATGCTTGGGTTTGTTGATGATCCTCCTTTAATCCAATAATTACCGCTCGCTCATCCAATGTCACACCTTGTTGATTGTTGTAACCCTGTAGAAGCCAAGGTATCTTTTCATCCGCTCGTGTTGCTGAAAAACACGTGATTGGACGACATGAGAAAGGCTGTTCGTCGTGTTGATTCCAAGAAAATCGTCAATGTAGCAAGCCAATCCAAACGATCCCGTTTGTTGTACTCCTTCCAAATTCTCTGGTTTGCCCTTATCCATAGACGCCGTGGACCGCCTTGGCAACGATTGACCTGCGCATTCTTGGCATTGGCGAATGTCGACATTCCAAAACTGAAGCGTTGCAAAAAGTCTCGACTGTAAGTCCACGCACCTAACCAAGCGAAGGCATCTTCCACAGCCTACTTCCTCCCTACTTACCATCATTGACCTTCTTTGACACATGCGGTTTGCTAATGAGCTCCATGTTGGACTGAGATCGGGAACAATTCGAAGACAGCGTTGGGTTTGTGCACGAGCAGAGTGAAGAAGAAGCTGAGTACACTGAAATTGCAAGGGCGATTGAGCCATAACGGTTTCCATGACACCCACATACCCGCTTATCAGCTATCCCTGGTAAAATGACCTGCGAAACATAGATTCGTCTCTTTATTTATTGACTATATAAAATACGGTATCTACATATTAACTTTTACGACATCTAATGTCCCAAAATGCCTTAAAGCATGTGCATGGGGAAGTGAACTCCTTAGTGTCTTGTGCAAGTATCTTGCAGGTATGCATGAGGGTATGATTCATTCAGAGTTGGCCATTTTTACTTCATTGTGCTTCACGCATCACTTAATGTAATATCTCTCATCATCATGATCATACAAAATGCCTACATAAAAGTTAAAGAAGGGAGAAAAGGAAAACGTACCTGTAAACACCAAGAGAAGAAAAGTTGGGGGAAAGAAAAACGAAAAGCTCGCTCGCTCCCACCCGACTCTATTTATAACCAAAATAGACAGTTGCCAAGAGATTGATTCCGCAGCATCCCCACGTTTTCATACCATTGGTTCCTATGTTTTTGCTTACTTCCTCTTTATTTCACAAGTCAACCTTCTCTTAAATTTTGCATTCTACTATAAAAGCAGGGGTTCTGCACCTGCTGGTATCAAGCGCATGACAATCCAATCGAATGAGGGTACGTCGTGGCTAATCAACCTAATAACGGTGTTGTTGGTATTGTCTACGTTCTACAGGTAGCCCATGAGAATCGAATGTTGAATTGCGGTTATGCGGATGGGGGGAATTCCTATGTTGGAATGCATTACTTAAAGCATGGATGATTACATTGATTGCAAAGTTTAAAAGTCGTCAATGCTTACCACGAGGTAACTACATGTGGTGGTATATGGTAAAACAGTCCTTCGGTTTGCGTAGCAGCAAGTTGGATACATTGCCGTTTCATGGTACATGTAGTGGCGCATGATGGATGTAGAATGTAAAGAGGTATATAAACATACATGATTTCATTGTAGGAGGGCTTGCGATGAAGAAGGTCATGAATGCAAGCACATTCTTTTATAGCGGCAATACCAGAACCCCAGATGTTACTTTTCAATCACGTGGATGACGAACACAAGTTGATTCATTTGAAGCATGATGATTTTTGTAACATATGAAAGGGGTGTGCCATGTCGTCATATTCATGTACAAGCGCGCCTTTACTATAGCCGTTGTATTGGTATCCACAAACAAGCATTTATTAATCAAGATTCGATTTTCTAATCACACATTGGTCGTATTCCACAAATGGCTAATAAGCAATCGAAATAGATTCAGAAAGTCCTTGATTATCTTTTTATTGGCTGCCACATCTGATTACATGCTCCTATTCTAGTCGAAAGAGAAATTCACCAGCGTCTTTGTTCAACGTGTGGAATATGCTTCTGTAACAATTCGAATAGGTAATCCTTCACTGTTGAGACGATGATGACATGCTTGAGATTCGGGAATGATAAAAGGCTGATGATGTCGCTATCACTAATGGATGATGCATGGATACGGAGATGTTGCAGTGTGGGATGATGTTTCATTTGTGCGATCGCTCCATCAGGTATTGTACAACGCCAAGATTCTAAATCCAGGTATACCAAAGATGGACATCCTTTGGCAAGCATTCCTATGATGGATACGTACGTTGAAGGGATCTCAATAAGCCTTATCGAGAGTACAAGTTTTTCCAAGCTTTCAAGTCTTGCAACGGCTGATACCCAAGGCAAATGTGAAGCACTCACACCAAACGTGATCTCCAATTCCTTTAGAGGCGAATTCATGGCTAGCTGTGCGTGGTGGTGAAGTAAACTTTCAAAGGATGGAGAATCCGGTACGACGTTTCGTGCCGTAATCTTGCGTACATTGCGCAATCGCGTGACAGCACTACATACGCCATCATTATTTACTGTATAGTGATCCATCGCAATGCTGTGAAGGCGTGGTGATCTGCTGATGATGAATGCGGCGAACTCAACAAGTTGCATATTGCACGCAGCGACTTCAATTTGTTCTAAACGCCCAAATTCCAACGTTGAATCCATGTTGTGACGTTCCAATAGAGTGCTTGGATCAGTAATGCTGCCATGTAAGGTGACATGGTCGAGAGACCGACGATGCTCAAGCAAAATGTGAAGTAAATGGTTGGCGTTGTATGGCTCCTCGTCATAATCAAATCCAAAAGATAGCTTCTGTAATCCATCAAGATGACGATGGTAGTTGTCGCGATCGAATCCCACTGTTCCACTGCATTTCAGGAGCTTCATATGCGGACAATGTTGACTGATAGATGTCAAGAAGCGTGACCCTGGAACCGGGAATAGATCAAGAAACACCAGTGATGGGAGGTGAGAGAGGACATTCGTCATTGTATCATAGGGCACTGGCTCAATCCCAACATGCAAGGCGAGATGCGTCAACTTTGGATATTGCACTGTGAGATGCTGTACGGTCCACGAGGTCAACTCCAATGCCACAAGGTTGGGGCAATGGTCCAGGACATAGGCCAAATGGATATCAGGTGCCATATTATCCTCCGTGTAAAGGTACAAATGCGTCAGAGTAGGGTGCACCGCTTGAAGAGCAGATGTGACCATGTAATCCTCATATCCGTAAACTACATTTCAAACGTTAGATATGTGTACCACGCCAATTCACTATCCATGGACACTTACAGAAGAGGGTGAAATGCGTGAGGTTGGAGAAATGGAAGTCGCCGAAGATTAAAAGAGGATCCTCATACGATACTGTTCTCCCTGCTTCCATCCACAAATTTTTGACATGTGCAGCAAATCGTTCAAGCTCTCGGAATTGTAATGGCATAACTCGATATCCACATTTGACACCGAAGCTCAAGTTGTTGCAATTCAAGATGCGCTGCCGCCATGTGCGTGAGACATAAAGATATGGGCATCGTACATCTGCTTCCAGGCGATAGTTGCGAAACACCCAAGGCAGTACCCCTGACACAACAAGCTCCAGAGGTAGTCGACTCATGAAATCAATACGCTTGTTGGCTGCATTCAAGGCCGCAGCATTCTGCATTTGGAGGTGGGTGTAACACGCATCCGATGATGGCACATTGGAAAGGCCTTCCTGGTATATGGCTACTGCTTCTTTTTGTCGTCCTTGCTGCTGATAAATGTAGCCTGCTTTCAAGTAGCCAATGGAAGAGGATCGGTTCAGCAATTGAATAGCTTCAGCATCGCGCAAGGCAAGATCGAACTGAGCTCCATTCGCCAATGCCGTAGAACGCTCATTGAGCTTCTCCATCAATTGACATGCAAGTTGGTCGATCTCCTCTGTTGCGGTGGAAATGGTGTTTTCTCCTTGCTGGTGACAGGAATTGCTTCGTAGCAAAGAAGGAATACTGGTGAGGTGCGTTTGAATCGTCATGAATGTATTTGGGGAAAGAGAATGATGGTACTTGAAGCTGGCGACCCGCCTGCATGTATTTTACGGCCCGCTGACATTGAAAGCAAATCGTGGCAATGGAAGACAGGTGGCAAGTGCATATGAACATTTTCATTGATACATTATAAATTGTGTAAGTAAGGATACCTCGAGCTTCCTCAAAGCGTTATGGAAAATCACATGACGTTGCCTTCATTAAGCAGTAAATGTCTTGGTGGTCATTGTGTTGATCTAAGGCTTTAGGACAACGTGATCCATTTTTGCGATGACGAAGGAAATGATCGACTTTTATAATGCTTCAAGATATACAATGCCGATATAGCAGGGTAATGTGCCAAATGAGTTCGATTACGGTAGAAGGATTACAAGGTGTGGTATGTTGTTGCTTACGGCTGGCCTTTACGAAGTTGTTCTTTATCCATATTACCATCTGTGTGAACAGCCATCCTTAAACGTGAATGTGTCTCTAATACAAAATACCTTTATACCATCCCGATCATGATGGCACGCAAACAATAGGCAGGGAGATGACCCCAATCATTCATTTGACAAGGCTTATGGATTCCAAACTTGATCCATGGTTGTGTACCACTGGAGCAACGTGGTTTTGAGACGATGTATTGGACGACAAGTCAATCGTTTTTGGCCATCATGATAAAAATGACCTTTCTTGAGATGATGGTTGTAACGGGGTCCTTGTGTGGGGACCTAATATCCTGGTAGAAATTGCAACAATATGTATGCTGAAAGGATACCCCATGTCCACATCCATCATAAATGATCCTTGTATTCTCTTTTTCATTATTGATCCAGCCGCATTTTATTTCCATACACAACAAGGCTGCACTAAAACAACTAGCTAACCACCTGTGTTCATCATCTAACTACCTCGTGCTCTTACGATATCCATTTTGGCTTCATCCAACACACATAGTTCTCAAGTTGAAACACCTCCCTGTATACCAAAAAGGACCCTACTTCAGCCAGAATACCCCAAGGATACCTTACCCATAATTACTGTAGCATCCAAAAGCGATCATCATCACCATAGCAATCCCATCCAGCCTTGAGTATACATACAAAGTTTTCAGCCGCCAACACAACGTGAGAGAATTCATATCACGAATACCAGGACAATAGGACCAGTTGCGACAGGATGAAATCAAAAGAATCCTTGAGCAGAGAGTGCTACCTTTTCCTTGGGAAACCATCTTATCCAACAAGTAGGTGAACATGCTTGCTTGGTCCAAATGATGATGATGACGATGACAATGATGAGTTGCTTGACGCAAGTAACGTTTACCTTGCCAGTATCCCCCCTCATAACATACCACGTACCAATGCCTGTAGCCGTGCCAGAGTGTATTCATACAAGTTGGGACGAAAAAGCCTTATCTGGTGAGCGCTGGTTTATGTCCGTAGTCTTGTGTGGTAGTGTTGTTTTAGTAAAAACGGCCACCATGGGCACCAAGACCTTGAAGAAGCGTTAGAAAATAGTCGCTGTTAATAGTTGCTTTCCACAGGAGTCGACATTGTTGAACGTGGGTGTTGCATAGGTTGTGGAAAAGAGGAACCTGAAACAAGTTAAAGGGACAAGCGAACAAGCGAACAAGAGATGACGCGTAAGAAGGAGACGAATGCTGACTGAGTACGAATCCCATTGCAGTTGACGAATTACGAATGCTGACAAGGAGCGAAAGCGAAGCATTAAAGAGAGAGGTGTCAAGTATAGAAAGCAACGTTTTGGGGTGAAGGGAATAAAGCAGCGCTGTTGAGCGGCAGCACGAGAGCCAATAAACTCTGTATCAGGGGCGGGGCGTGGTCTGGGAAACCAGGAGTGTTTTTGTTCCACAGCCAACCAAGCATGACCCACTCTCCTTCTTGGAAACAACCGACACTCACAGTCTCTTCTGAAAAGTATGCAAAGCTTGTCTACGAATCAACACAACAACTCCATCAATCACTTCAACCTGTCTTGTCGGCATTGAACAGACGCGCCATTGGATTCGCAAAGTGTGTCAACTATGAATCGGCTTTTCGAGATGCCCACCTCATACAGCAACCCTCACCTTATGCTGCACTTGGATACTTGTGTGAAGCCACTATTTACAGCGAACAAGGGAAACAGCTTCAAGTGATTGATGTATGCAACAAAGGACTCAGCATGGTTGATACCAGCGATACGCACTATGCCACACTACTTCAAGTCAAGATCGATGCAAAGCAACGGCAGGGCACATGCATTGACTTTATCAGCCAATTACCAAACGACATTGTCATTTCAACGCTCATTCCAATGATCATGGATGATAATTGTGTGGCGACATCTACGCCATGTTCCTATCTGCAAGTGGCTGATGTATGGAGCGATCGTATCATTGAATGCTTCAACGGATTACGTTTCACGGTGGATGAAGATGATGAGGACATGTCGCAAGTCATTCAATTTGCTCAGCACACACAATCATTGCACGTTTCAGAGTATTGGGAGGGAACCTGGCTAGGTGATTTGATCGGTGGCAATGCGTTTTCATCGATACAAAAGATAGTGATGGACAGTAAGTTGAAGGTACATCACTTTCGTAAGTGGCATTCACTTACCATTTCCTTATAAAAGGCTTCAGGAGCGACAACATTGATCACTTTGTATCTTCGTTGCAACACGTCAGCAACACGTTGACCCATTTTGAAGCGGATATGGAAGATGGACCTGAGCTACGCGCAACCGATATTATGATGGCATGCCCGAATCTGATTTCGCTCAGCATATCTGAAACATTGAATGGCGATTTCACCTCTCTAGAAATGGCACCATGGCCCACTTTGACGACATTATCTCTTACCTATGCACGCGATCCCATCACCTGTGATCAGATCATCGACATTTGGAAGCGATTTCCGGCACTCAAGAAGCTTGAACTTTCATCATGCATCGACATACAATCCACGCTTATTGTCTCAGACCATTGCCCATCAATGAACTGCATTGAGCTCTGGATGGATGATTCAACTCTTACGCTTACCTTTTTGGATGAAGGAAACCATGGCCATGGGATCACAAAGATCATCATCGGGGCAACCGAAATGGAATGCGACACCTGCAAGGATACCACCTCTATCATAAAGCAACACCACGACACACTTGAGCATCTTGAATGGGATATGGATACAAGTTGGGATACCGACACCATTGACAACCTCGAATTCCCTCATCTCAAGGTTCTTCGTATTGATTTTCCTGGTTGGGAGATACCACGCAATGCACCCATGCTTGAAGAGTTGAAGTTGACATCAAGAATCATCCGTACACACCCTGCCGTGCTTGACATCATACCACCACGCTTGACAACGCTCGATTTACTACTCGATGATGATGTTGAAGATGAACCCCCTCTAGACGAAACAGCCATCGTACACTATCTTGATCGCATTGCTCGCCAACACCAGCTAACCGAACTTGCGATCCTTTTCGACAACGAGCAGCAAAACATCGACGACATGCTTGATGCTATTTACCATCATCAGCACCTTGAACGCCTAAAGATCGGTTTTACGGAGGATTTGGGTTCCTATGAAATGGAGCTATTTTTGGATGGGCTTGTCGAAGCATGCCCTCGTTTATCTTCTCTCGAGCTCAAATGCGCACGTGCACCATCGATCACTGCCATCAATACCCTGAAGCAGCTTGAACATTTAACGCAGTTTGGATTCCCCATCCATGGCACGGATGACGTTGACCGCTTTTGGAATACCATTCGAACATTCACCCAGCTCAAATACATTACAATCTACCCTGCTTGTGAAGTCAAGGACCAACATGTTAAATACCTCAAGCATCATAGACCAGACATCAAGATAAACATTGAGATGTTTACCATTTACTTTTGAGGTTTGGCTTTATGACGTACATAGCATCCCTTCCTTGTAATAAATATCGCTTTTCATCATTCCTTGTCAGCAACATGTAATGTACCATTAAGTGCAATCATATTATTCATTAGCATCATGCGTGCTGTTAATCGTATCATTGCTACCATCGATATCCTCCTCTTCACATCTGCTACCGCTATTGATGATCCGTGCGTTGACGATTGCTGTCATGCCCTTGCGTGGGAATACCACGTTGTGGTTATTCCGATTGATGTAGGCTACCTAAGCTTAAGGCGGCCTTATCGTCATCAAAACCATGCATCTGACAGAATTGCCTACATGAATAGCTGCCTACATAGCGAAAATAGTGGTCTTACAGAAGCTTGCTTTTGGTATCCGTATGTCTGTGAAGATGATGACTACATCACTAGACATTGTACTTGGCATCGGGTAATCGGGACTAATGGATGCTGAAGAATGGTCGCGCACATTACATGTAGGTAGTGCTTTTTATCCTTGAATGGGTATCCTTTGTGTACGTGATTGGTGGATGACGCTTATATGCATGAAGGCAATGATATACGAGATTTATTGTATGCATAATGTACCCTCATACCTATGATAGCTAGCTGTAAGAGGCAAAGCGATTGAGAGATCTCAAATGAAAAGGAAGATAAAAGACCTCGTTGAGAATCGATGTATGTATTTCAAAGTGAAGATGCTGTTACCAGCTACAACGACAACATGTCTGATACAGGTTTCTATGATAATTGCGTGATGATGCTACATGGAGACGGGATTTACATAAGATGGTGTCGTGGATACACGCGATGATGGGGCTCGCTGTGCGATGAACCTTGAGTGTTGGTATAGGAACGTTACATTCGGTGTCCTCTTGCGGGATTGGTGTCTGGTGTGGTCGTTGTGATGCCTTGGCTTGTCATCTTGTAGTTGGTGAAGGTTTGTCTTTTGATATCGGACACAAAATGATCCTTGTTCCAGTATGTCCATGTCGTTCCAAACGAATATGAAAACAATGCGGTGCAGCGATGCACGTCGTTGTACATTTGCTGTAAAAGCATTCCCATGCACCTCTGGGGCCATTAAACGTAACGCATTGGAGATGCATGTGCTGACACATTGGCCCAACGGTTCTGTAACCAATAGCCGAATGTCCACACCGCAAGGTGAGTTGCTCGAAAGCAGGTAGCCGAGGGTATAGAATCGGATATTCCAATCTTTGCCAATCGATGGCTTTCCCACTCCATAATTCCAATGTGATGATTTGTGCCATATCGACGATCAGGGGAAACCACGCATGTATTTATATCGCCTACAAAGGAATCACAGACTTCCCATCAGACTGAGGTTGCCTTTGAATATGGATGATTGGTATACCTCCTACCACAAAGCTCCATCAAGGAAAGAGCCAAATGTCATGACGCACCAATAGTGAATGAAGTGACCTACATAAATGAATGCATGAATAAATACCCTCCACTTTGCGGACCACATAAAGACTATCCTTGAAACTTACCAAAGGTGATCGATAAAGATGTGAATACAAATAAAAAAACGGATATAGAATGGAGTCTTGATGACAACAGCCTTCTTTATATGCGAGTGGGGCGTGGAGAATTGTTGTCATGATAGATCGAAGTGATAAAGTTCTCAAGCATCTTGGAGCTGAAGCGATGGAAAACCAGGAGCGGACAAATCCGCCTGCCACTTGAAAGGTGATCTTTGTAGGCGACACAAGTATGTCCTGAAGGCATGTATTGGTGATGGAATGGATTCGAAACGTTTCATTTAGCGGCATACTCTTCCAAGACTATGGACACCGGACGTTCTTGGAAACAACAAGACAAAATGGTGGCCGTTTTTGAAGAGATCCACAAGGTGCTTTGCACCATTGATACCACGACGGAACCGTTTGATCTGGACGTCTCTTCACGTAGAATGTTCTTGAGTATGCAAATGATGCTTCTTCATGTTCTTGCATTGGTTACAGGGCCAATGACCCAACCCTTCTCAAAGCAGGAGAGCGCCCAATCACTTGTTGTAAAACCAGATGATGCCGCCTACCACCAATCGTCTCCAAGGTGTCCCGGTAAGGCGCATAATGGATGATCCAAATCATAAATTCATAGGAACTTTCAGCCATGTCATAAGAACAACGTATATGACGCAACCGCATCAATAATACACCTTCCTCGCCCATTTGCATCGTATCATTGAATGATGGTAAAAGGCCTTCTTGGTAACCGGTTTAAAGCGTTTCAGCATGCTGTATCGTAAATCGAATCATGGCATCCACTGAAAACGTACGTTGTATTCCTGGTTGGCTCTCAATGTGTGATACTTGTACACGAACACCCTGATGATCATGAACCTCATGCGTGCGATGATAACCAACGTTCATGAAGAGTTGCTGCAATGCCGATGAATCAATGATAAAATCTCAGATCCCGAAGTTGGCGAAGGACGACGCAATCGTAAAGAGGGAAATTGTCAACGACGAGATGTAATGTTGCATATACTCATGTCACCTACAAAGGAGCCCCAAATTTCCCATTAGATTGAGAGGTTGCCTTTTCCCTACAAATGTACCTACCACAAAAGCTCCATTCAGGAACACAGTCGATTGCCATGACGCACCAATGGTGAATGAAGTGACCTACGTCGTAAATGAACGCATGAATGAGTACCCTCCATTTTGGGGACCATATAAAAAGACTATCTTTCTGACTTACCAAAGGTCATTGGCGAGGATGTGAATAAAAGTAGAAAGAAAGGGTGTATGATAGTGCTGGTGACCACAGCCTTCTTTATATATGTGATTTGGCGTGTGAAGTGTTGTCATGATGGATCAAGCTGATAAAGTGGTCAAGCACCTCGGAATACCTCCTCGAAGTGATAAATCGTCCACCCGCCACCTGAAAGGTGATCTCTTCTAGGTTACTGAAGTTGGTGCAATAGTCATGATAGCCGATGCATCGCCCATGGCGAGATTCAGTTGACCACAATCGGCAAGTAAAGAAGCTCTGGCGTCAAGTGCTGCGACAAGCTGTTGAAGGCAATCGTGTACGGTGGTTGTCAATTGATGGAGTTGGCCATTGCTTGTGGGGTTGTCAATCGTCATGGGAACAGAGGGTGGAGGCAGCATGTCAAAAAGTTGGGAGTGGTGGTGGAAGTGGAAAGAAGGCTCATGCTGAGAGAATTAAGAGCCCCCTTAAGCGCGGTATGTAACACCCCATTTTGATTGGCCGATATCCATGCCCCATCCTATACATCGCTATCCTGCTTTCTCCATCACTTTTATATGCAACCCCAAAACTACCATCATTCAACATGCATAGAAAATAAAAACATTGGGTATGGTAAAAAAAAATCCAGTTTCGCTAGCTGTATTAGTATAGCTTTGTGGGCTGTGACAATAAAGGATCATCATTAAACCTTAAAGGCGATATCAGGATCAATGTATGGTAGACATGATAACACTTAAAGTGAATAAATACGCCTCCCAATCCTGACATGTTTAAACTTTGGATCATTTGGATTAGCTCAGCAGACTTTCATGCTTACTTTAAATTAAAGACATTTTATTCACCCATACACTATTCTAATCCTATCATGTACCCTAATTTGGTCATTGAGACGTGGAGAAAAAACAGCAACAGAAAACAAAACGCGATTACGGCCGGTCCTCATCTTCATGAAATCATCTCCATCATCATATCCCCAATACCATGCCTTTGTGCATACCTTCTCCCTGTCATCCAACACCTACCAATCCAATAAAGTCTCCAGTAAAGACTTCATGTAACATGATACCAACCGTGCAAAGTAACCTTCTATAGCCTCGATTTCGTTTATGGTCGTAACGCAAGCTGGTACGCTGTGTGAGGCTTTGGTGACAAGGCGTTTGCTGATGGCGAACAAGATGGAGTGAATGAGGTGGACTCGCATGTGTTTGTAAAGTGAATTGCAATAGTGGTGAAGAAGCGTATGACGCGTGGGGTGTGTGTTGGGTTGCTATGCAACAAGAGCAGTTTCAAGCAAAGATAATTACAGTGCTTTACTATGCGAGCTACAATGGGCTGAGACATTGATGCCAAACACAATTGACAAAAACTATCTCTTTGTTTCATCCGATGCACGTGACATGGAACACAATGAAACTACAAGGCAATAGTCCTTTTTACGTAGACGCTATCAATTGCTGACCACTTTCTTTAGTAGTATGAATATGAAAGAGTAGACCCCGATGTTGGGTGTATAAGGATCAGCAGGTCTTATGGAAGGTCAACAATAATCATCATCGTCATTCGAGTGATTACAATCATAAAGGATCTTATTGTATTCGGATCTCGTTACATATATGGGAAACTATATTTCAAAGCATTGATTTTATAAGTGGATCTTACGTTCCAGAGCAGGTTGACTAATAGGGTGCTAAGAAAAGAGGTATTCATGTGTATGATGGCGTGGGGTGATCGCTAAGCCCAAGCCTGTGTAACATCACGTATCTGCATAGAAGCCCTGGTTGTCTTGGCATCAAACCGTTACTCTTTTAGCCCCGCGACGCCATGATCGAGACCAACATTGACATTCTGTGCCCTTCTCAATCTGCTGTTACCATTGACAACCCTTCCATTGACGACAACATTAAGGTTCAGACAACGCATGTCCAAGATTATATCGGGAAGCTATTGTTGGCGCTCAATGTAAGAGCATCGCTACTTGCCAATGCCGAACGACTCGACCTTGCCCTAAACGACGCCATGGTTATGATGACTCTAGTACCATCTTCACCCTTGGGGTATCTCCGTGCCAGTGATATTCATTCGCTTCGAGGACAGTACGCGATAGCAACCGAGACTCTTAATGATGGATTGAAACGAGTATCAGCTTCTGAACCACAATACGCACAACTTGTCAATGCACGAGAGGTAGCCTACAACAAGAGCATCAAGCGTATAGACTTTATCAGCATGCTACCATTGGATATCGTGACAAGCAACATTATACCAAGGGTATTGCAAGGTCGATCCATATTTCAGATTGGGAGGCCATGCTACTATATCGATGTGTGTCGTACCTGGCGACACCGAATCCCGTTAGTGGATGGGTTGAAGTATGAGATTGGACCAGCAGATTTACTCGAGGATGGGTTTGAACGTGTAGAGGATCTTGCACCTTTTATGAGATCATTGACAGTCGTCCAACCCGACAAGGAGATCTTATCCAAAATCACTCAACGGCATCCCTTACGATTGAACATGTTGAAAGAATTGAGGATTATTGGTAGGTAAGGGGAAGGATGCTAGTGCATGTACATGTCATCCTAACATGTATCGTTTAGAATCTATTCGAAGGGGATCCTCTCTTTTGCTTTCATCTCTACGTTTATTAAGCGACACAGTAACGGATCTCAGAATTGAATATGGCTACAATAAATCACCAAAGATGCGTTATCGGCTATGCGACATTTTGGAGGCATGCCCTAATCTTGAATCAATACGAATGGATGATGGAGATATTGACATGGCGTCTGTGACCAAGGCATACCCCAAGGTCATCAAGTTGGAATTGTTGAACATGCAGAACAGAGTGAAACTAGACAACGTGTCAGCTCTTTTGCAACCATTTCCTCGGCTACGTCTCTTAAAAATCGCCCCTGGGTTATCTGAATCTTTCTTCCTTCCCATTATTGATCAGCATTGTCCATTATTGGAGGAGCTAATCTTGTGGGGTCGATCTCCACATTCTTTTGGCAACTTCGACGCGCCAGAGAGAAAAGGTTTACGTGCTTTGATTGTTCCCACCACGCAACATGGTGACAACTTCAAGGAGGATGACATTGTGCAATACCTGATGAAACACAGCGAGACCTTGGAGACGTTTGGTGTCGTGGCAACAAGAGGATTTGGAAAACCAAAGAGTTTACTGCAACATGCGTCAAGTCAAAAAGTAACCTTCAAACGATTGCGTCAAATCCATTATCCACCTGATGTTGATGAAAGCCTTGTTTCATTTCTCTTGTGGGTGATACAACATGCCCCTCATCTTGAATTTGTCGATACTGTTGCGGGTCATCAACAAACACGCATCATGCAAGAATTGATTCGACCTGAGCATGCCCATATCAAGCGCCTTGGTATGGAAGTCAGGCCCTCTCGATTCCACAAAGAAGAGGAATTCATTCAACACCATATGAGACTTGGACAACAATCAAATCTGACGGAGATGAAGATCTATTTGCCACCACAATATCTCCATGACTCATGGCTGCGGCTGATTCCTCGATTAACACAGCTGGTCACGCTTGAGTTTTGCGCCATACTAAATCACCTTGCGTTTAAATCCTTATCTCCTCTCATGGAAAAGCTCGCTGATGGATGTCCTGCTCTGGAACAGCTCACAATGACAAGCAACCTTCACGTTATACGTCTGAGTGATCTATATCCCATGGATCGTCACCGCAACCTAAAAGGTATTGTCATCAATTGTCAAGAGATGCTTGGTGATACGTCCACGTTTAGACAGCGTTTCACGAATATCGAGTCATTGCATCTCACCCTTTGTAGATATAGACTAGAAGACATTGATGATTTAGAAAAGGGATCCTTCAAATTTGTATTTACAGAAAGGCTGTCTGGTCTTCCTTACTTCCTTAGAAACTCTCTAAGATAGGATTTTTATCAGTGTCATACATAATAAACCATCCCAATATCACCTTGAAAGAATCCTTGCTTGTACATGGAGGTTACAAAGGGTAAACATCCATCCAAGATGGTTTCCATCATAATAAATGATCATGGATCAGAACACCGAATAAGGGTTGAAGGCACGTATGATGCAATCAAGCCATTAATAAGGAAAATGCTGGCTTAAGCATGCATTACACAGCATCCAACTAGATGATGATTCCACACCTTTCGCTTTTTATGCTCACACTACCAACCATAACAAGAAGCATACAACATGCCACGTTGTATGAAAAATGATTCTCTGATATTTAACACGAAAAATCGCGTTACGAGCCATAGATTGTATTTAAGTTTACATGCCAATGGATCCATACATGTAAAGCTGCCGTAACCATAAGGAGTGTATTGTAATCCTATGTTGGGTAATACATATGTGACACGAGTATTGGTAATGACATGATCGGCAGGAAACGTCTGCAAGAGTCGTGGATGATAACATCATATACGACATGCTGCGACCACTGTTACACCAAAGTTTAATCCATACCAGATGATCCCAATTTACATCTAGCTTTTATCCTCCCATTGAGCAACAGCGGCTTGATGCCGTTTCAGCGTTATTGATAGAGACGATAAAAGCCAACCTGATGATACGTTGATTTTGGATTCGCTGTGCTGATGAAAATTAAGGAATGATGATGATGATTTTTAGCGTGATTTATCAATAAAACATTGTATTCTACTCAAAGCCCTTTCGTTGTATCTAGAAGTATATCACAAAACATTGGTTTTATAAGTGAATCTTAGATTTCTCAGTGAGTTGACTGGTAGGGAGGTGAGGAAAGTGAGCGTTTATGCATATGATGGGGGTGGGATGGGATGATGGGCCGGCCAAAGCCTGTGTAACATGACGTAGATAAAATACAGGCGGGAGGTGTCTCGGATTTGCATGTTGCTGTTTACCCGGCGACGCTATGATACAGACCGACATTGACATTCTGTGTCCTGCCCAATCTGCTGTTGCCAATGACAACCATTTCATTGACGAGGAGATCAAGGAATTGACAACCCATGTGCAGGATTGTGTTCAAAAGCTCTTGTCGACTCTTAATGCAAGAGCATCGCTACTGAGGAATGCCGAACGACTTGTCCTCGCCCTTGACGACGCGCACGCTATGATGAATATAGCACCTCATTCACCCTTGGGCTATCTTTGTGCTGGTGATATTGATTCCCTTCGTGGACATTACGCGTCAGCTATCAAATTGTATGATGATGGATTGGAACGATCACCAAAGTCTCACCCACAATATCAACAACTTGTCAAAGCACGAGCAGCAGCATACGACAAGCAAAACAAGCGTATTGACTTTATCAGCCAGTTACCATTGGATGTGGTGGTACTCAACATTATCCCAAGGATACTTCAAGCTCAAACTGTTTTTGACATTGGGAAACCATGCCCCTATTTTGATGTATGCCGTACATGGCGACAAAGAGTGGCACTAGTCGATGGATTTGATTATGAAGTTGGACCTGGTGATTTATCAGAGGATGGATATGGACGCGTAAGGGATCTTGCACCTTTTATGAGATCATTCACAGTGGCACAGGCGAGAAGGGAGATCTTATCCAAAATCATCAGACCGCCAAATAATCGTCTATTTAACATGTTGAAGAAATTGACGATCATTGGTAAGTAGGGAGTAGGAGGATATGGGTGGATGTAGATATGACATCCTAACATGCGTTCTTTTTAGAATCCATCACACGGGGACCTTCTCTTTTGCTTTCATCTTTACGTTCATTAAGCTACACGTTGACGGACCTGGATATTGAATATGGACATCGGCTGACACCCAAGAAGCGTTATCGGTTACGCGATGTTATGGAAGGATGCCCTCATCTTGTATCCCTTCGAATGTGTCGTGGGAATGTGGACATGTCGTCTGTCACCAAGACGTATCCCAAGCTTATCAAGTTGGAGCTGCAGAATGTGTCTTCTAATGTGTACGATGGCGACATGGCATCTGTTTTGCATCCATTTCCACAGCTACGTGTTTTGAAGCTCTTGCCTGTATCCAGTTCGGGCCTCTTTCCAGCCATTGATAGCTGTTGTCCGGTATTACAGCAGCTCATCTTGTCATGGCAATCTTCCGATTTCGCTGATCTTATGGACATACCAGAGAGACCAGGGCTGCGTGCGCTGAGTATGAGCAACATGTTGGGATTTGGGAATTTCGCTGAGAACGATATGCTCGAGTACTTGATCAAGCACAGCGATACTATGGAGGTCTTGGATATCCCATACGAATATGCATTCAAAACGCCAAAGGATTTACTGCAACAGGAAGCGAGCCGACAAGTAACCTTCAAACAATTGCGTCGAATCTCGTATCCTTTCGATGCTAAAGAAGGCCTTGTTCCATTTATCTTGTGGATAATCCAATGTGCACCCCATTTGGAATCGATTGGAACTGTTGCTGGTCCTCAACAAGCACCCATCATGCAAGAGCTGATTCGACCTCGACACGCTAACCTTATGCAACTTGGTATACGAGCCACCCGTTCTATATTGGATGATGAGGAGCGATTGATACAACATCATTTGGATCTTGGCGAGCATTCAAACATGAGAGAATTGAAGATTTACTTTCCAGAACATTTTGCGCACCACGCATGGCTCCCACTGATTCCTCAACTAACGCAGCTCACCACGCTTGAGTTATCTACCGATGTACAGCAAGGTTTTCTTTCTTTGGAGTCGTTCATGTCAAAGCTGGCTGATGGGTGTCCTTCCCTGGAACAACTCACAATGACGCACGACGGACAGTCTATGAATATGAATACTGTTGACCCCATGTATCGCCACAACAATCTCAAACGCATCGTTATTGATTGCAGAGCAATACATGGTGATGTGACACTTTTTTGCGGCCATTTCACAAATCTGGAATCATTGCATCTCAAGCTTATGAAATACGACTGGGAAGACATTGAGCGTTTACAAAGGGGATCCTTTAGATTAACATTCACTCTAAAACGGGTTCGTATCCCTGCCTTTCTCTATCACGCTATAATAAGATAGAATTAGATTAGATCATAAATAAATACCAAGGAAAACTACAATGGATCATCTCCTATATTCCGACAAGCTACTACAAACAATCGTTGGTTGTAATTATGTAAATGCATGCTTGATCTTTATAAATCTTGTACGATGATCATCCATCCGCTCACTTGCAAGATAGTCGATCAGCCATGCTCACGTTAATTAAAGTTCACATAATAGCTATGATTCCTTCTACTTGTTTTGCAATGCTAACAATGGCAAACGTAGGCTAAGAGCCATTCAAGAAGAAATTGATGTCGTTGGGTAACTTGGGGAGGCCATACAGCCTAACAGGAATATGCATTGCATGCTACTCGTTCATAAACACGGCTTCGTATGGCCATGGGGTGAAATGAATCCAGCAAGAGAAATGTCAATGTAGTGATCAACTATGGCATCATCCTTAATCGCTTGATCACAAGCAACGTTGGCCATAAGGTCAACATGCTATTTGAAAAGTTGTCTTTTCGAGTTCTCGTTCGGCATAGCTGCTCTTTGATCCATTATCACAAGCCATCATCATCTCCCCCACAAACAAATAGAATTGAATATCCTCTTGCTTAAGCTTTTATGCTGATCCTATTTATTGCGATAGACCACAAAACTACCCTATAGCCTCTAGTAATAACATTCATTTAGCAATATCCCAACTCGATATCCTTTCCACCTTCATCCAGCATGCGTTGGTCTCCATATCGCGTTAATCCACGTGTACCATACCAGACCCTCCTTCAACAAGCCATTCGTAAGATCCATCTTTCAAACCTACCTAATAAACGCAATTATCACCATCCAAGCATTACCCAAGACATAGTAGCAGCATTCCTCCCAACATAATGGCATCATCCAAAAACATCACCACAGGGACAAAGTGAAGCTTGTATCCATATCAAACCGAATAGTTCCACCAAAAGACGTTGTGTGGGATAAACCTTCTCTGATAATACGAGTGCTGAAACGTCCGCATCGAATCAAGTGCAACCAACGTATGTGGAGATGGTGGTTGTAAAGGTACCTGCTGCCGTTCCTGTGATGATGTTCATGTTGATGAAGATGAAGATGAAAGGATGATGATGTTGGTGATGATGATGATGATGATGATGATGATGATGATGATGATGATGATGATGATGATGATGATGATGATGATGATGATGATGATGGTGAAGATGTTGTTGTTGATGATGAAGATGACGAATATGGTGGTGATGCCGAGCAGCTTGAAGCAAGTAATCACTGTGAGGATCCTGCCAATAGTATATCCCATATTCTTCGACATACACGTGAATACCTGTAACCATGCCAACGTGCACTTACGGAAAATGGTGAGAAGCCTTGATTGTTCGCAGCACGTTTATCATTCAGGGGGAGTGCTGGGTGCCGTTGAAGTTATACACGATGACCAAGCTGAAAAGCGCCATGCTGAGTGACCTTAGATGGAGGCCACCGTTGACGATTGTTGCCCGCTGGAGGTGTCGTTGTCAAAAGAGCAAGTTGTTTAGCGTGTAACAAGAGAAAAAAAGCCGAAACAAGCAAACAAGCAGAGATGACGCGTAACCAGAAGACGAATGTTGGCTGACAACCCATCTGAAGACACATGGCGAACGAGGAATGTTGACAAGGAGTGAAAAGAGATGGTGGTCCAAGTAGAGAAAGGAGGAGTCGTGGTTGAAGTACAGGAATAAAGAGGCTTTGTTGGCTCGGAGCATTCCCACAAGGAATTTTATGCTGCCATCCCAACGGGGATCATCCCGTCAAAAATCACCTCTCCCGATCTAGCTGATAACGTGCCCTTGAACTTGTCTGACATGGCGTGCCCTAAGTCGTAGAGACCAGTTTTATTGTCTTCTATTGCTAATCCAATGCAGCAACATCTTTCTGCAGGTGTGTCTAAAAAAGATAGCTTTATCCCTCCGTGTGGGAGTCGGATATTTTTAGAAGCACGTGCCACATGCGTCAGCTTACACAATACCATCATCATGTTTTCATTACCCTTCATGACATGCTTGAATAACTTGTATCAATAACGAAATGAAGCATGCAACGTGTCGTGAATGATGGGTATTGTATGGAAGGAAATACGCCATGGGTAGGCTACTATCATGTAGTGAATTCATTTGGCTACCCCACCTCAACCGTTTTGCCATCTTTGTGAGACCCTCCATGCATCCTTGTGTCACCCTTTCTTTATCACATTGATAGGTAACTGATGAGCATTCATAAACTGATGTGTAATCTACCAGACAAGAAGGGGAGCATTCAATCATATACCTATTTCTTCATCCTGTATCGAGCTACAGCCTTGAAAGATGCGTTTAATGTTTCAACGTTTTGAGATTGATCATCATCATGTGCTACACAATATCTAATTAGATGATGTTCGCTTTTACGCTCACTTTGCCAACCAAAGCAACTGCCATGAACATGCCATTGTATGATAAAAGGAGTCCTTAATCTCAAACGCGAAAAAAACGCGCTACGACCCTTTGATAGGTTTAAGTTTACACGCCAATTGACCCATAGCGTTCAATGTGCGGTGATTTATTGGCCACAAGCGGTGTATTTTAATCCTACGTGGTACGAGCATTGGCAATGATATGATCGACATGGAACATCCGGCAGAATCGTGAATGATAACATCATGTACGACATGCAGCGAATGCTGTTACACCAAACTTTAATCCATATTGGATGATCCCAATTTACATGTAGGCGTTTTCTCGCGTTGAGCAACTATCATTTGACATACACAGCTTCAGTGTTACTGATAGTGCCTATGAAAGCCAACCTTATGATGGCCTGTTTACGGAAAATAAAGATGATGATCACACATAGAATGCTTTTATTAAAAAGCTAACCTACTCAAATCGTTTTGCTTGTATAAGAGAATCCATCAAGAAGCATTGGTTTTATAAGTGAATTTCGAATTTCAGAGCACCTTGAGTGGTAGGGGGATGAAGAAAATGTATATGATGGGGTAGAATGGTCGGCAAGGCAACGCCTGTGTAACTCCACGCACGTACCATTCAAGTGGGGTTGCCTTGAATTTATCACTTCCTGTTTACTCTGCGACACCATGATCGAGACCGACATTGACATTCTGTGCCCTGCCCGATCTGCTGTTTTCAACGACAACCCTTCCATTGACGAGGAGATCAAGGATCTGACAACCCATGTACGAGAGCATGTGCAAAAGCTCTTGTCGACTCTTAATGCAAGAGCATCGCTACTCAGGAATGCTGAAAGATTCGAACTCGCCCTGAACGACGCCATCGCCATGATAAATATCGCACCTTCTTCACCCTTGGGCTATCTACGTGCTGGTGATATTGCTTCGCTTCGAGGACAGCACGCGTCAGCCATCGAGATGTATGATTATGGATTGGAACGCTCACCAAAGTCTCACCCACACTATGAACAACTTGTCAAAGCACGAGAAGCAGCATACAGCATCAACAACAAGCGTATCGATTTCATCAGCAGATTGCCATTGGATATAGTGATGCACAACATTATCCCAAGGATGTTGCAAGGTCGAAACCTAGTTGAGCTCGGGAAGCCATGCAACTATTTGGATGTGTCTCGTAGCTGGCGACAACGATTGGCACTAGTGAATGGATTGGAATATGAAGTTGGACCTGAGGATTTATCAGCCGATGGATTTGAACGCGTATACGATATGGCACCTTTTATGAGATCATTGACCGTCGACCAGTCCATGAGAGAGATCTTATCCAAAATGATCAGACGGCGTGGCAACTTTAGGATGTTGAAAAAGCTGCATATCTATGGTAGGTAGCAGGAGGATACAAATGCATGCATTTCAACCTAACATGTAACATTTAGAATCTACCGCACGAGGGCACGCGTCTCTGCTTTCATCTTTACGATCATTGAGCAACACATTGACGGAGCTGGAGATTGAATATGGATATCACACAACACCCAAACAGCGTTATCGACTATGCGATCTCCTGGATGCTTGCCCCAATCTTGTGTCAATAAGCGTGGGTAGAGGAGATATCGACATGTCATCTGTCACCAAGACATACCCAAAGCTCATCAAGTTGGCGTTGCGGAATAGGGATCCCGAAGTAAACGAAGGCAACGTTTCATCGCTTTTGCAACCATTTCCCCAACTACGTGTCTTGAAGTTGCTTCCTGTATCAGGCTCGGAGATTTTTTCAGCCATTGACCAGCATTGTCCATTATTACAACACCTTATCTTGTCGAGTGGTCCTGTTGAATTTCCTGATATCTTGCACACGCCAGAGAGAACAGGTTTACGTGCCCTGAGTGTTCCCACCAGTGACTATCTTGGACGCTTTAAGGAAGATGATATGGTGCAATACTTGGTGAAACACAGCGAAACGATTGAGGCATTTGATGTTGGCGAAATCTTTGGATTTTATACGCCCAACGATTTACTGCATCAGGCAGCCAGCCAACAAGTAACCTTCAAGCAGTTGCGCCGAATCTCTTATCCAGGTGGTGCTGAAGAAGGCCTTGTTTCGTTTATTTTGTGGATAATACAACATGCACCTCATTTGGAATCGATCGACACTGTTGCAGGTCCTCACCAAACACGCATCATGCAGGAGTTGTGTAAACCTACCTACTCCCATCTAAAGCGACTTGGTATGCGAGGCTGCTATGCTATGTTGGAAGAGGAAGAGCGATTGATACAACATCATTTGGAACTGCGGGAGCAATCGAGCCTGAAAGAAATGAAGATTGATATCTTTGAAGATACTTTAGACGATATACCTTTGTTGTCAGTGATTCCTGGATTAAAGCAGTTGACCACGCTTGAGTTATACACCGAACACCCACATTATTGTCGGTCCTGGGAGTTGATCATGTCACAGCTGGCTGAAGGATGTCCTGCCCTGGAACAGCTCACAGTGTCAACCAACACGAGCCGCCCTTTGTTTTTCAATGACATTAATCATATGTCCTCTCATCGCAACCTCAAACGCATCGTCATCAATGCTTTCGAGATGTGTGGTGATGTATTACAATTTCGCGAGCGTTTCAAGGATCTCGAATCATTTCATCTCAATATCTACAAATATCACTGGAGCACCATTGATCTTTTAGAAAATGGAGCCTTCCACTTTGTATTTAGCCTAAAAAAGCCTGGGACTCTCTTTCCCTTTTAATTTTATCCTCTTCTGATAGATCAATCAAAGTACACACACACGCATATACATAGACCCCACTTTATATAGAACGCTGCAAATTATACGTATCATACAACAATAAAACCACTCTAATGATCATTTCAAATATACCTAAAACTAAATGTGCTCTTGGATAACAACCTGCTTGATCCGTGTTTTCATGCCCACCACCAACAAATAACTAATCCCATTACACACCTTTAGATTGTATGCTGGCTATTTTTTATTGTAACGGACCACAAAACTAATATCCCTAACATTACCCCAATGTGTATCATTCACTGGTATACCAAGTCCATAACCATCCTGGTTTCGTCCAACATGCGCAGGCTCCAAGATTCCGTGATTATACACGTACCAGACAACTCCTCCTTTGGCAAGCATGTCCAAAATATCCATCATCCAATCCTACCTTGTAAAACACGAGCGTCACCATCCACGGGTTGATTGGTGAGGGATTGTACCAGCAGCAGCAGCAGCATTACTTCCGACACCATGGCATCATCCCAAATTATCACGATAGAGTACAGTGGAAGATAAACGTTCAAGACAAGTTGATCCTGGCTCCACGTCAAAAGAATCATTTCCCAAAAAGGTGTTGCATCTCGTATAATCCTTCCTTGTTGAACCACGTGCAACCAGCGTACATGGAGATGGTGATTTTAAAAGTACTTGCTGCTGCTGATGGTGATCGTGATGATGATGATGATGACGTGCAGCTTTAAACAAGCAATCGCTGTTAGGGCTCTGTGTCTATTATCCCCCATCACCCCACACATACCAAATGCATATATGCAAGGCTGTGAGAAGCCTTGGTTTGTTGGCGACACGATTATCTGTCATGGAAGAATTGGTTGCTTTGAAGCTGTAGAGAGATGACCAAGCGCTGACACCAAGATGTCGAACAAGCGAAGGCGATGCATATTGTTGGCGATCGTTTTTCAGTGAAAGCAGTATTATCAAACGTGCAAGTTGTTTAGAGCGGTGAAAAGAAGAAGCTGAAACGAGTACAAGCAAGCGGTGAGCTCAAAGAAGTTGTTGTTTTGTGAGATGACGCATAACCAAGGAGACGAATGCTGGATGGCACCAATTGTGCTGTAGATGGCGAACGAGGAATGTCGACAAGAAGTAAAAAGAAAGCGTGGTCAAATAGAGAAAGGAGTGGTTGTTGTCGTTGTTGGAATGAAGGGGGAATAAAAAGCGGACGCTGTTGACTCGGAGGATTTAGGCTGGGTTGGACGGGAATATAGTTGCCATGCCATTGAGAAATGCCTTATCCATCTATACCAACATAGCTCATTTGAAAGAGCTTGTTCTCGTCAAGCATAACGCAAGCTATGATAATGATACGCTAGAAAGCCACATCCACTGTACATTGAGCTAGTCTCTTTTCACATGATTTACCACCGATTCATCATGTTACCTTAAACAACATGTAGAACAGCATCCACCTGTTGAGCATGATTGATACAGTTGCAAACATCAACAATGACATTGATACCGTTTTGGTTTGAGGTGGCTTTTTCTCCCCATTAGCTGTGACAGGCAACAGGATGGGTGGACTTGCCAGCTGTAAGTGATAGTTTTATCCATCCGCGTGGGTGTCGGATATTTTTGGAAGCCTTCCAGATATGTATGGGCCTACAAAATCATCATCATTTTCACTGCCATTCATTTTATTCATCCGAGAGCAGACACGAAATAAATCATGCAACGTGTTGTGAAGGATGGATATTGTATGCAACGAGAGGTGCCATGTGTTGTATACAATCATGAAAGAGGTCTGCATGCATCCTTGTGTCACCCTTCCTTTACCATCACTTACTTACTAGGCAAGGGATGGGCATTTAGTCAATGGTGAATGATTTACCACGTGTGGAGGATTAGGTAATATACACACTTTTTATCCTGGAACGAGCTATGGCTTATAAGCACCCATTTCCCATTTAACGCCTTTGGGATGAATCATCAGCTGCGGTTACACAATATCCAAATAGATGATGATTCAACACGTTTCGGTATTATGCTCACTTTGTCAATCGTAACATAAAGTATGCATCCTGCCATATTGTATGAAAAGTGTCTTTCTATCCTTATGACGGAAAACATAGCAAGGTCATCGACGCGATTCATGTAATGGATCCATACATGGAAACGCACAGTGGTTCAGTAACCATAGCAAGCTACCCGAATGTTAAATAATTTCATTCGTGACACCAGCAGTGGTAATGACATGATGGGCAAAGAGTGTCTTTCAGTTGTCGAGCATGACAACATGTACAACTTGCAGCAACCTTTGTTACACGGGCTTTGATCTTGATGAGATCATGCCGATTTCAATGTAGGTTTATCCTCCCATTGGGCAACCACTGGTAGGGGATCATTTGAGCAATAGTGATTCAGCCAACAATGTCAACATGATGATGCCCAGATAGGATTCTGTGATTAAGGAAAACAATGAAGAGTAATCATTCTTGGATTGGGTTTTATGACAAAAACATCGTAGCATTATCAAATGGCTTTCATTGTATGGGAAATCTATCAAGAAGCAATGGTTTTATAATTGAGTTCTCACTTTCAGAGCGGGTTGACTTATAGGTTGATTAGAACATATCTCTGTATGTATAGAATGGGATGGGATGATCGCCAATCGAAGGCTGTGTAACACTATACCGATACCTGTATTCATGCCTTGAATATCATTGCTGGGACAATCACGTCAAACGGACATCCTACCATACATCAATCATCATTCTTTTCCAAAAACAAGGCCGATTCTTTATTACGGGCAATCCACTCATCCACGAAGTAATGATGGCAGGAGAGAGGACTACATTGCTTGGATGTCTCATTGTTGAATAGTGCAGACACAAATAAGGATGAATACAATGATCCATTGCGTTTGGACAAGGGCGTACGTTTTGCTCGCAGGTGTTATAGGCATTAAGGAACTAAGAGATGGCATCACGTGCACCCATTCTCGGTGTCTCCATTCATCATATTATCAACAATGGTCAGCTCCAGCTTTGTTATTCTTCAACGTTTTTGAACTCACATAAGATTGGTGTCATTGCTTTTGTTTTCTCTTGCATTCATGGTTCTACAACTAATTCTGGACGATGAGTAGCGCATAATGGCACAAGCAGCTATTACACGCACCTGCCACAATAACATGCATACGAATGTTCCTTCAAGGGCGTAGACTGTCAGGATGGCAGCATGAGACGCAGATGTTTCTTTGAGTACTTTAGATTCTTCTCCAACATTCATATCGACTGTGGTCGTAGATGAACACCAAAAAGGGTTGTGAAAAGGATCACAGTATGATCAGAAAACGTTTGTGTTACCGCCTTGCATATCCGTACAATGTATTTTCTCAGCTTGCCTGTTTCCTCTTTCTTGCTTACTCCCTCTCTCTCTCCATGTGCTTCCAATTTTCAAGTCAACATTGTCAACAACTTCTCATTCCAACACAACACATCCCCCACCGCAGATTCCACAAGTGAGATTCGACATCCCAAGCCAACATTAGTCAACTTTTGTACGATCGAGCTACAACATCGGCAGCTTGTGCAAACTTCCAAACGGCTTTACGCGACGCTACTGAAATCCAGGCACTGATACTTTCATCGCCTTTGGGTCACCTATGCCAAGAAGATATCTTCAGTCTACAAGGACAGCAAAAGGCAGCTATTGAAGCCTCTCGCCATGACAGTGCTTCATGCTATCTTCATTCAATAACCATCATTATGTTTTTGACAAACAACAATGCAACATCAACGACGTAGAGGACCATTTCACAAAGCGGATGGACTTCTATCCACTTGGTATACTCTATCGAAGATGTTAGGTGATAAGCGACAGCATGCTCCATTTGGAGTACCGGTGCCTATACGTACGACAGGCCTGGTGAGGACGCATGCATCAAATCCGTGGTGGGTTGCAGCCTGTATGGATCATGTCAACAAGCAAATCAGCCCTTTTCGACCCATGTTGGATGATTGGATATCGAGGGCCATTACGACGATCCTGCTTGCAGCCATGTCTTTCTCGAGGTGTATTTTCTTTTGTGAACGGTTTGATATGGAAGGTAAGAAAGGTGGATGTATCCATGGATACTGGAATTAAACAACGGATACGAAATATTACATGGGAGGGAACGTTTTCAGCTTACCTAGACATCGGTGACGACTACCATCACCAATAGGCTCTGTTGCGGATTGGCAACCTGCATGGATCGATTGTTGGGATGCACTATCCGATGTCGACGGCGGTCAGGATGTAGCACGCATGCCAATGTGGACCGTACCTATGTAACGTGGGGTTGGCGATTTCGTTCAAGCATTCGATATGCGAAAAGAGATACCGCTGTGAGCGATTACATTGATTGTATTGGGATTGGATCAGGATGGTATGGTATGTACATGTTTCACAATAGCTCTTTGAGGGGAGATGCTCGTGTATGGTTGCTAATGGCAGCTCTCTTGGGTTGTATGTCTTAGGCTCTTTATCAGTGATC